AGGTGTTTGCATTTAGTTAGCTACAATTTGTATACCAGATACAGAAGGTCATAAACTTGAATTAATTGTCTTTGCAAACTACAATACTTGTTTGATAGGTCCTGTTTTTGTGTGGGCTCTTTGAGGTCATGCTCACTGTGATACAGAGATTTGTACAAATTTGTATGAGTTGGAAAGATCAATAACATAATCTTAGGATTGTAGAATACCAAACTAGAACCCTGTTCTGGCTTGAAAGTTTAGTTTTTTTTTCCTGTACAGTATTCTTATGCCTGTCTTTGGTCTGTGTGGGCATGCTAGGAAATCTCTCCCTCTGCTCCAGCAGCCAAAAACAATTCGGTGAGTTAGAAACTAGCCAATAAGTCCAAAACTTTGATACAGACATTGTTGTGAAAATAGTTTTATTTGCTCACTTGTGCTGTGTGTTTTTCTTTTCTTTCTATATGCATTTAGTCAGTTATCTTGTCATCTTTTTGCATTGGTTTTCCTAGTCCCCTGATCTTTTTCATCTGTCTATCAGTGAGGATGATACACTTGGTCTAAAACTGGTCATAGTGATTTTCATGTGTTAGCCTGCTCCACTAATATTCCAATAATGTTTGTTACTCTCTTTGCTTGATGTGGTTCTTGTAGGGTGGCATGGGGTGATAGATCCCTTAGAAGAGGGTCTGGTGGCATCTTTAATAGGATTTTAATAAAAAGTTCTTTTTCTGTTCTTGAAATACTAGGTTTATTTAGAATAAATTGTTAGAAGCCATGACCTGTATGTTTCTCTGGCCGATGGGATGTATAAGTTTACTGTCTGGTCACTGAAGAGGACACTGTATTTATACTTGTTGGTTGTTGCTTTTATTTTTATTCACACTTTAAATATCATCACTGTATTGTCTTTGCTAGTTTCCATATTTAGTTTGAGGCTAATATGCTTCTTAGCTTTAACTGAAGTGCTCCCATTTCTCTTAACAGTCATTGTAGGTACAATTTACATTTGAGGATTGGACACAAGAAGTCCCTATCTAGGTGTTGCTGGATTCATCATTAACTTCTGTTGCTAATCACCTACTCTTGTAGAACTGGTGCAGAAGTAGTTGCTGAAATGAGCTGCATGCTGGTTGCTATGTTTGGTGGTAATTAGTGATAGTGGAGTGCTTTTTCTAATCCAGTGAAAAAGATTAGTGACTGTCTTTTCAATTTCATCTTATTGTTGTATTACCATTCTTCCTCAGAGTCAAATATTGCCACTTACTAGCACAGAAAGTAAAAGAGAGAAAAACTTTTGATGCTTTTATTTTGGTGCTTTGAGAAGCAGCTTAGATTCTAGTTAAATTTAACAGCCAAATATTCCACAAACTGTGTAGTGAAGCTGTACACTTTGCCTTATCACCAACCAGCTTGTTGGTTTAGTAGAGTGAGTAGCACAGGCTGTCAAGCATATGCATACAAAGTTTGTTATTCCTGATTGAACTGACTGAGACAAACACAGTAAATCATGATTACATGTTGCACAACTAAGCAGAAACCAACGGGTTGTTTGCTGGTGCCAATAGATGTAATTCCTAGTACATCAACAGTTCAAAAACTCAGCTAAAAGGCCATTGTAACCTTTCCTTTCTAGGGTATTGAGCTGTATTGTAAGGTAAAGTTTATGCAGTTCATTATATAATTACCACTCCATTACCTAGAGTTAGGATGGTCTATCAACCAAAATATAGGATTGACTGAAAGAGATGTGTAACCCATACTTTTTGAGCTATAATAAACAGTTCCATTATAAGAAATACTTATAGGATATTGGATTATAGCTGTTCGAGTAATACAGTTTAGAATGATTGGTGCAAGTAAATGTAATATCTAATATACATGAACGTTTGCACAACTGTAGGTAGTGGCTAGGACTTTGAAAAAATTTAGTTTGAAGGACATTTTAAACCTTGCCTTTCAAGCTATCAAGTAATTTTCTATACTGAAAAGTTGTCTGGTATTTTGCAAGAATCACTCGCATGATCTAACTGAGTAGTGAGAAATCTTAGTAGAATATCACATGGTTCTTGCTAGATATTTCCCCGTTCTCCTGAAGAGCATACGCCTTCTCTATGTGCAGTGAGGGAGGTGTGTTTTCTTTGAGGGTATATTTGAGTTACGAGAATTTTAATTGAATTTTATCAGTTTTTATTTTGTAATGCCTGAAAAGAAAAACTAGTTTTGTCTGATGACTTCTGGATGGTAGAACATTACTGCAGTAATCAAAACATGACCTGAATGATGTAATTCAAGAAGATTACCAAAGTAATTTCCATGAAATGTGGAGGCAGCCTGTTCTGAGATATTAGTGTAAATGACCAGATGTAATGGTGATATATATCTATTACAATATATGTGTTGTGGTCGTAAACACATGTATAAACATTACATGAAATGTTGTGTAACGTGAATGGATCAGTTACACAAAGAACACAACTATTAAGCGACATATGAGTGGAAAAATGATTTTATCTGGATGTAAGACCTTGTAATATGAGGTTAACTGATTACTGACTTGTAAAATATTAGTTGAAGGTACCTGTTATCTTCAACACTTATGAGAGAATGTTTCGATTTTGACAATGAAATACTTGGGAGGTTTGTATATATTCATGGAATTATAAAAGTAACAGAGAAAATAGTTTAAGTAAATTAAAACGGCACTTGTGCATATGTATATATATATATTTGAAACATTACAACTTTTGTAGGTGATCATGTGTGCTAACTTCTTAATCAGAGTAAATATATACAGTTAAACAGAATACAATGTTAAAATAATTGCACAATAAATAAAAAAACAAAGACCAGCCCTAAAAATACTACATGTTTCGGTGCACCACCATCTTCTGAAGTAAAAGTTAAAATTTGATCTTTTCGACATTTATAACTACACAATAACTTGCATACCTATATCTGGTCTCAGAGGTGGTGGGCAAAACAAGAGCGATTAAAATTAAGGTCAGCGTAGAACAAGGATAAGGGCCCCCAGTGGCACAGCAGTATGTCTGCGGACTTTCAACGCTAGAAACCGGGTTTCGATACCCGTGGTGGGCAGAGCACATATAGCCCATTCTGTAGCTTTGTGCTAAATTACAAACAAACATGGATAAGGATAATTCTATTTTAAGTCCACATGAGATAAAGACAAAAGTAATTCTGATTTATTGCCCAGATCCGACAAAAACAATAACGTCCAACGCTGTATACATAATAGACCATTCCGGATAGTAAGAACATTTATAGGGGAGAAAAGTCCCTAACTCATACCACCTTGTACAAGTTTTTGTACCACTTCTTGAGATAGGTTCGCTTTTCCAAGAGGTATCGGATATAGGACCACAGTGATGAGTTTATAGCTTTTAGCATATGCAATCTTTACCATAGTAAAAGGATTAGTACATGTATACAACCATTCAACATTCCTTGTTTAAACTTTTTATTGTGGTAATAACTATCCCTATTGCGTGTGTGTGTGTAAACACAGTTCTGTGAAGAATGTTGATCTAATGTATGAAAGGAAAAGTTTAGTCATTTATTACGGCATTCGCAATAAAAGAAACAAGATGTGGTGTAAAGTTAGACATAGATGAATGCTTTATTTACGGACGGAATAATACAATCGCGCAGTGGCTTAGCAGTAATATTGATTGCTTGTAAAGCTAAATTCATGGTTAAATCTCTGTTGTAGGAAAAGCACAACTTTGTGCTTAACAACAAACAAGTAGAATAATTGTATAACAAAACATAAAACACTGGCTAGTCGTTTAGTTGGCCTACTGTGTAATATTAAAGTTATAATAATATAGTTTGTTTGTTGTTTTTGAAGTTAAGCACAAAGCTACAAAATTGGCTATCTGTGCTCTGCCCACCACGGGTATCGAAACCCGGTTTCTAGCGTCGTAAGTCTGCAGACATACCGCTGTGCCACTGGGGGGCATATTAATATAGATGATTAAGCTTTTGTCATCATCAGTATATTTAAAATTAGAAAACAAAATTGTAAATATGAAATATATACCATAAGGAAGTGAAGTGTGTGGAATTTTCATATACGATAATTTTATTGTATGCAAACATAATTTATATAGGTTCCTCGTATCTAGAAATCGAAATACGCTGCCTATAATTTGCATAGAATTTTACTGAATGAAATGTAGTTTCTATTAGACACTTTTCGATGCATATTACGCTAGTAAAGATCAGTTTATTTTCTAAGTCGTTATAACTTATGTTGTATTGGCACGGTAATCAAAATGCTTGGGTAGGCTAATTACAATAATAAATATCTTAAGACGATAAAGGGTATTCAGCACGATATTATTCACATTGGCCAACGCTGGGAACAATTGTTTCATCAAGAATTACAGTCTAATGCAGTTTATGATTCATATAAAACTATGTTTTATTTATTCTTTGCACTCCTATTGAAGTAGAAACGGATGCCTACGTTTTTGAATAACGACAAAACATAAATAAATCAAGTCGTTACACAATCGTCATTTGTTGATGGCAATGCTCCACTTTATGAAAATATAAGTTCCAGCATTTTAAATAAATTGATGTTAGTTTTTCTTTCTATTGTCTTTTCGCAGATTATATTTTTATTTTTTCATTTTATTTTTTACAATACATTTAGTCTTATACTTACCTTTAAACTAAAATTACCGTACAAGATTAAAACATGAACCTAAATCAGTTTTGTGAAATTTATTCTAAATCTTATGCGTTTTTCTAATTTCATTAGGATTCCTAATAAATGACCCCTGGTGGTTCAGCGGCTAGTCTGAAAGCTTTAAAATATCAGAATTTGATAATCGAGGCAGGTGAAACTCAGTCTTATATTATTTATGAGAGAGATAATTTATATATTTTTGTAAGTTGGAAGTTATTGATTTCAGTGACCATGAAATACGGTTGCTTTTTTTCAACAAACGTAATATTATTTCACAGTATGTTTGTCTTGTAAATTTTTTGTATATATAATGGAGAAAAACAAGGATAAGTAAACGAATTAAATTTAAAACAAAAAAAAAAACCTTTCGCCCGTCCGAGGGCACTAAGTATTCTTCAACCTCCGGTGTGATCCTCGTTCAGGAAATACGTCTGTGGTGTGCATCTTAAAGTAGTACTAATAATATTTGTAATTATTAATATACTAAATTACTGTTTAAGTCTCCTAAGAGTAAGACTTAGCACTAATATGGATGTTATGGAAATTAATAAACTAGAAATAGTATTCGTAGTGCATGTTCAAACTTTCGCCTTAGCACTACTATTATTAGTACCAAAAAAAAGTAAAACTACTGGTAATAATATTATTATTAATAGTAATATAAATATAGCGCACTGTTACTGTTAAAACGAGACCAGAAATCAACTGGAAGTTGGAAAATAAGTACAAGTAATTTAACAATTACTATACTGTTGTATTGTGATGTACTTAAGCGGGCCTAACTCAGTAATTGCTATCTGACCACGTGTTTTTGTGTTACTTATTTTGATTAGCATGCTAATGGTTTTTTTTTAGTTCTTTTGTTTACATGACTGTGTTGTAGTTTAATTAATTGAAAGTGTGATGTGAATTATTGATCTTATGTTTACTGGATTTTTTTAAATTTTGCTTGCTATGTATATTGATACTGATAGTGTTTAATTCCAAATTGAAATATTTCATTATAAACAAAATTTTGTGCCTTATTTCATGCTTGTCTTTTAGTGCGTCTTCAAGATTCATCTCTGTAATTTGATATATTTAGTTGCTGTTATTGTACACACTTTTTAATGTTTTTTTGTACATCCTTTTTTTATAATAGTTTTTAGTGATATTTGTTTTTCATTTAAAACAGTCCTGATGTAGGGTTGAGGTGTACTAAATTTTCTTTCTTGTTAGGGTCTAACATGGTTTGTAATAGTTATTTTGGCATATTTGTATCAGTGTCACCTTTATTAAAAATGTGTACTTTTATTTTTTGTCTCCTTATTTATTTGTATTACTTCATATTTATTTTTTGTATAAACATAAAATGCAACACTGAGATAAGCCTTCACCAACTAAATTATTAAGACCTATTTAAAATGTAGTTCTTAGATCAATTAATAGCTTCAGGGAATTTGACATAGGTGTAATTTTGGCTTCAGTTTTTAATCATCAAACTTTTAGGTCATTCTTAATTGGTATTCACTTTCCACTGAACTAGTGATCGAGAAATGAACTATATATATATATGTCTGTGTGCAGGCACTGAATTTCTAAAGGTGTATTTGGAGTGGTTAATTTTATTGATCATGTTTTTGAAACAAAAATAGTTCTGTTTTCACAATGGGTTTGAAAAATAACCATCATCAACTGAACTTGCATGAACTCTTGATCATATTGTTCAACTGTTTCTTTATTTTCTGACCATGTGTAAAAGTGAATGATAATATGAAGTGAATAACTTTATTTTGAACATTATGCTCCACTTTTGGAGTGTTGGAAAGATATTCAGGAATTTATCCATTTATTAAGAAACCTTCAGGAAAATTATTTCTAACCAAATATTTGCTTCTGTTCTTTAACTCATTCTGAATTAAATCCCATATACTAGTGAGAATATAGGCTCAATATATTGGTATGTTATTAAAATTTTCTTTAAACTTCAAGTGTATAAAACTTTTAAAGACCTGAAAAAGTTAGCTTATGATATGCACTTACATCAAACTTTCCCCTCTTATTTATGACCAAAGTATCCAAAATGGTAAAGAATTCTTGTTCCAATTCAACAGTAAATTTAATATTCACATTTTCTATTTAAGTGCTCAACAAATTTAGTAATGTGATTAATTTCTTGAAAAACAGTTAAAGTATCATCCACGTATCTATTATGTAATAATAGTTTTAAACTACTGGGACACTTTTTTTCATAATAGTACCTGAAGATATTGGTCATGATTGGCTGTAAATGTTTGTATACAAGAGTTTAGAATAATTCAAATTCTCGATATCATATCACCAGAAATACATTCCAGCAGTTTTTAACTTGATCTCTGAGGAGAATTTGGCTCCTAAAATATAAACCTATCACAAATTTTATTCAACTTTTTAGTTCCAACTATTTTTTTATTTTATATTAGCTACTAAAGCCCCAAAAAATATTGAAATAGGCTATTCCAGTTGATTAGTTGAAATATACAGCAAAGAAAATATTTTTTTTAGGAATTTTAAATAGGTTAAAGAAAACAAAAACCTAAAATAATTACCATGATATTTGCTAAAACATGAACTGTTCCGAGGAAAAAAATCCTTGGCTATCTTAAATGTTACTCTGTTTTGTAAACAGACTTGAAGACAGTTATTTAATTTCCCAAAATATGCTAAGAAATATATAAATTCATGAAGCTTGAATAACAGTATAAGTGAGGGAAAAAAAACTAACATATATACATACATACATGTGTGTATACAAAAGTTTTTAGTTTTGAATTAAAAAACATTTGGATAGTTGTCCTTTCTGTATTGATAATATGAGTGCTTAAAAATAACATAAGAAATATTGAAATTTGGCATATTATGAATTTAAATAAAAGCCTAAAGCTAGTAAACCATGCAAATTACTGCTCTGCTTGTTGATATAGCCAATTATAACACTCAAGCTTTCATTGTAATTAACATCCTGTTCTAGTGTGTATTAATGAAATGGTATCTTATCTAAAAATTCTAAAATATTATGAACAACATTAGAGATTCGAAACTCACTTTCATTAACAAAATTGTAATTTAGTAGAAATTCATATAATCATTTATTTAATTTTGTTGAACATAAGATAAAGTTTTTCAGTGAAAATATTTCTCTAGCAAGAACATTATCCTACAACATCCTTAGTGTGGAATAGCTTATTAGGTGTTTTATTTAAATTTACTTGGTTTGAGTTTCATGTTTTATTTTAGCAGAATGATTTCCTTTATAGTATGTAAACTTCACTGATCTAAAGACAAGTGCCTGTTTTTGTAAGCATTAGATTTTCTCATTTTACTGTGTTACATAATTATAGATTAAAGATAATCAGTTATAACTTTTTTTTTCAGATTTGTCTGTATCTTATTTTACAGGGATTTGAATATTAAAGAAATAGTGGACTTGAAAGAAATGAAAAATGGCCATAACAGATTTTGTTGCATCCCTTCAAGATAACCCATATTTTGGTGCAGGTTTTGGTTTAGTTGGTGTTGGAGCTGGTGTAGCCTTCCTACGTAAAGCCTCACAGGTTGGAATGATTCTCTTTCGTCGTCACTATATGATGACTTTAGAAGTTCCGTGCCGTGACAAAAGTTACCAGTGGCTGTTGCAGTGGATCACATTAAATGCAAGAAATACCCAACACTTGAGTGTAGAGACAAGTTTCCAGCAGCATGAGACAGGGAAAATTAATACAGCTTTTGATTTTGTACCAAGTGTAGGAACTCATTTCTTCAAGTAAATGTGTTTAATATACTTTGATTAACAAAAAGTGCTTATTACCTGGTCTTAAGTATTCCTTCAGTAGTTTTGTTTATTATTAACTGACAGCTTTTGAAACAAAGATCGAAGTATCTCCCATAAAAAAAAGTGTTCAAATTAGATTATTAAATATCATTTGCTTTATTCCAGCTTCTTCTCAAAGACATAACTGCATTAGTTCACATAATCACTCACCAGTCTGGTATTAGATATATTGTAACAGTATTATGTACACTACTCACAGTTCGTTATTTGCCTTTTTATTGAAACAGAAAATCTCAAAAATACTATCCTTTCATTGTGGATCTTCCAGAATTAGGACAATATTTAAATATCGTGGACCAATCCAGGATTTCTGAAAAGTTAGATGTAGTAAGGAACCTTTTGTGAAAACTAAACATATATTATGCTCATATTCGAGAATTTGGGCACAAGTAATGATTTACAGTTGGACAAACAACATGGTTTCCCAAAAACCCAATTCCTAACTAAAATGTTTATAAAAAAAAAAACCTTGAAAACAAATAATTCAGTATGTTATTTATTAACTGTGGAAAATCAAGATGTAATAGCTTTGTCAGTCAAAAGGAAAGACATCCAAAGCCCCATTGGATAAAACTATGGAAATTTCTTGCACATGCCTTCAGTAGAAGTCTAGGGGCCTTCTGTATCGCTTCCAAGTTTGAGAGTCTAGTAATAATCATGTAAGAATCTGTCAAACAAAGCAGTAGAAACTTATGCCTAAGTCTCCTCTGCCTTGTCACAATTTCTTCCATAGATGGAGTTCTAACGGGAAATGGTAGACAGTGATTCCACTTGTTCTTGATCAGGCTTGCCCTTGTCTCTATTTCTTAATTATTTTCTAGTGAAGTCAGTTCTGGCATTAATTTATACACCTGGTAAATGGACACTTGATGGGTGGCTCTCAATGCTTAGCAGACCACTGGGACTCCTTTTTCCCAAAGGCTGAGGAAGGTGTCAGAGACATTCTCAGTTTTTGTACTGCCCACAAGTTTGGCTCTCCCAGCTGTGTTATATCTGCTGACTTCTCTGCATCTGGTGCCAGTATGTTCAGGATGGGCTTGGGTTCCACTGGCGATCCAGCTGATCAACATGAGCCCTTTTTTCCTCACTGAATCTTTCTTTTAGCAATGCATGAAAGCTAATTCAGTACAACTGGCACCAATTAAAAGTAAGAAGTAGTCTTATTTATCTTTGCATTTTTCATGCTAAGATACTAAAAATAGAATAATTAAATAGAAATGAAACATATCTGTTTGGAGCAAAATGAAGAAGCAAAAAAGTCAATAATTGTTAAATTTGTCAGCTAACTGTAGGACTAGGGTAGATGCTGGTATTGTATATTTCTGTATTTTGACTATTTACTAGTGTAGCAATTTTTAAGTAGCTTCAAAATGATTTATATGTGAATTTGTTAAAATATTCTCATTCCTTAGCTATAAATTGATTAGTTATAAAATAGATTAAAATAAAATTCTGGCTTATATAATGTCAAAAACACATTTAATTAGTAGAAAAAGTTTTTGAAAGGCAAAATCTGACATCTTTTAAGGGCTGAATTTCTTCCTAAAAATTGTCTTTAATATTTTTATTTGATAAATGCTAATTCCACATGACACCTTGAAATGTTAATCCAAAATGAAAGTATAAATTCAACTAACAATTAAAAAAAAAGGAAATGATACAGAGGAAATGATAACCTTCACAATTATAAAATGTAATTATAAGTTTGCATTAAAACTAGAAATTAGAAGACTACAAGTAGTGGGGTTTGGAAGGTATTGAAGCAGATTCTTTTGTTGATTACATAATACGCATATTTACACAACCTTTGGATTTTATTATGTTCAGCACCCCAAACTTGAAAATCATTCCAGTATTTATGGTAGAGTAAATACTGAAATTTTATTCATGATGTTAGTAAAACACATAGGTTCAAGAAGTCTTGATAGAAATGAATAAAAACCCTATAACCCGAGTGCTTTCGAAAGGTGGACCTTTCTTCTTCAGGGACAAATTGGGAATGGTGGTGTAATCAAATTAGTGATATATGTAAAGGGAGTTTAGTGATATCATGAAGGTCATCTAGTTTTCCAGGAAATTTTTAGTCTGTTTCTCTGTTGTAAGCATCTCATTTCCGGTACAGTGTAGCCAATGTCGAGAGTGTATGTAAAAAGGTGTGAGGGCTTTTAATTTACTTTAGAAATGGATAAATATATATGTATACTGAAATTTTATAATACTCTTAACAAAAAACACATACAACAACTGTACAAGTGTAAATGCTAAACTATATATTTTCGTGGTTGTGTTAGGATCATTAAAATTGTTACAAGTGATATGATGCATCTAAAATCATGTTGTTTTTTTATATGTACATACCCATGAGTTTTGCTTTCCACAGCATATGATATACAATTTTATATTTTGTATGTGTGATACTGAATAAATTAATGAAATAGTTCGTTTGTTTGCATTAGTTCCATGTAAGGTTGGTAATCAACTTTAATATTCAGATGAAAGTCTTAATTACTGTGTTTTCTTATCCACTTTAAGTTAAGATTCTGAGAAGGTGAAATAACAATGTGTTAAATATCATCTTGCTATATGTACTTTATTCATAATGTTATAGGTATAAAAATACATGGATCAGAGTGGAAAGGAATCGAGAACAGCATACATTAGACCTACACATGGGTGTGCCCTGGGAGACAGTTACCTTGACAGCAATAGGGAGAAATAAAAATCTTTATTTTTATATTCTTGATGAAGGTATGTACACCTTAGTTATATTGTCAATGTATAATAATATTTCAAAAAGTTTTTTTTTCATTTTAAGGTTTCAATGTATCTATGCAAGTGTGCCTTTATTTCCTTCACGTTTTAATTTATTCCATAAATAATGGATTTGGTTAAGATAATTTTATTTGCTTGAAGAGTCAAGCAACATTTATGCACATGCAGTGTTTCAAAAAAGAAAGTGAAAATGGTTTAATTATCATGATATATTGAACTTAGTATAATTGTGTTTCAGATATGTATGTTTTACATTTTATCAGAAATTTAGATGTAAAGTTTCTATTTCCAGTGATGTATTAAACAAGAATATTTACTAATATTTGTGTGCTCAAAGGTTGTAATTCTAATAATTTTTGTTGTTTAAGTTTCACAATAAAAAGATATATACCATATTTAAAAACTTTTAAGGACTTTAGACTACAGATAGGAAGCCTATTGAGTGCCAGTTGTTTGTATCCAGTCCTGTGGTAACACATGACCTCCCACATAATGTCAAGGTTCAAGTAGGATCAAAACTAGGGGTTTCACTATTTGATATTTATTTAACTGGTTATTCATCATTCTTGTTTGATTTATAACTGATTAACTGTTTTTTTAGAGTATACGAGTTTAAGAACTGCCTGTGTCATTTTGTGGAGCTGACACAGGTCACAGGGTTAGTTACATCCATATTTTCCTGTGCGTTGAGTTTTGTACATTCACTCATACATTAAATCAGTGCCCTATTTTGGAACAAAATATATGAAATAAGCCTTAGCTCACATGTTTAGAATTAGACAGGAAGTAAAAACCTTGTTTATGCTTTCTTTATGTATTTCCTTATGTGTTATAAGGCATATCAAGTTCTTTTGTATCCATTATTTGTCACATGTGGTATGGCCAAATGTACACCCTTCAACTACAATCAAATTTTATACAAAAACATGCATTGGCGTAAAATAAAACAAGAAACAACAGTTTTAACTAGCAGTTAAGAAATTTTAAGTGTTTAGGGTATCAAATTGAACTGTAACTTGTAAAACAAGTTAAAGTTCAATTTAAGGCCTTAATCAAAACCAGAACCATTTTCTAAGCTATTGCATTCTTTTGTGCTGTGATTAATAGTTATTGCTTTCTAATGCAGTGCTCTTTATATTCTCTCTCTATATATAGTTTTATGCCTCTCATTGTGTGGCTATGTAGTAAAGCCTAAAGGCTCATTGATTGTCATCTAACAGTCATTGAAATAATACATGAGGATCTCACTAACTGATTAAATTTGACTGATATCATTTTCAGCGTTCCAGTGGAATGTATTACTAATAACAGTGTTAGTCAATTCAGAGTATTAGTCATTTTGGTTTTAACCTTTTAAGGCTGATGCTGGTCAAGTTCATCTTCCAGATAGCCTTATATGTCCAGAAGATCTTATATCAACATGTTAACCTCTTTGATATTTTAATTTTTTATATGAATTTTTCTAAGTTACTGCTGTAATGCTCTGTGCTTAGTTTTTTATATTTTTCTTTGCAGCTAGATGAGAATATTTTCTGTACACATCTTTTTTTGCTCATCCCCACCATGTCTTATGGAAGGGGGAGGGGGCTCCAGTTTCAAATAGAATTTCGGTTTATAAATCCATAAATTGTTTACTTTCAGGTAATGTGAAATTTAAATATTTGTGCTGCATACTGTTTAATGCAAAATAGATATATGGAATTGAACTTTATCAATTTATGTAAGTATGTATGGATGGATATATATATATATACTTAACTAATTTAGATCTTTGTTGGAACAATACCATTATTTCTGGAGGAAATATCACACAAATCTGTTGAAGTAACCATTACTAACATGATAATTTGTGAATTTAGAGGATTTGAAATCCATTATAGCTATAAATCTTTTCATTCTGGACAGTAAATCTCTGGTGTATTTTCATTGTAGAAATAAGTTATTCTTAAAGCCTTCTGAAACATTTTGTGGTGTTTGCATCACAAGAATGAACTTTCAAAATGATATTTCAGAAGCAGAAGAAAGTTATTTTTTTTCCACGCTTTTTTGAAATAAATAATGCTTTGCTTTTTCTTCATCCTTGAAATTTTTAATGTACAATTGATTTTGTTTATATAAACTATGTAAATTTCTGTTCAAGTTAATTGCTTGTTACTTGCATGAAACACATTAAGGACATAAACTGCAAGCCAAAAGAAGAAAGAAAAAAAATGAGACAAACACCTACAAGAAAGTTGCCTAAGTAATGTTTCAATTATGGATACTTAAGCAATACTAATCTTGTACAATATGATCACAAATTCTAAATGGAAGTCATATACAAGAATAAATTGAATTCATTCTTTGGATTATACATAAATGTTTAAGTTTTATTCCATAGTTTATTTTAAGAATGAAAGGTTCAGCACCTTAGTGTCAAAAATATTTTTAAAACTAATTTGCATTTTAATAAGCTACAGTAAACCATTATAGTAAGGGCTAGTATAAATTTTATTGCTACTGATGAAGAATTTTTTGTCAGCTAGAAAGTTAGCCCTTAAAAAACAAGAGGGAAAGACCATTATGTATACAGCAGTGGGCTCCGAGTGGAGGCAGTTTGGGCATCCTCGTAAACGACGACCTTTGACTTCAGTGATCTTGGATAATGGTATTTCAGAACGAATTTACTCAGATGTAAACGAATTTATTAAAGGACCTCAGTGGTATACTGAACGAGGTAATTCATATTTTGAAATTCAGAATGCTCCTAAAATTTATTTAATACTTACTATAAGTTTTGTTTTCTCAGATACTGTTCATGTAATATATACATAAAATACCAAAATATGTTTTTAAGATGTATGTAGTGAACAGCATTAAACATCTAGGAAGTACAAGTTTCTTCAGTGATATTTGATACTGCTGTGTAACAGTCGTTTGTGAAAGAAAGTTTCAATTTTAGAGTTTGTTCATGCATGTTCATTTTAACAAACTTTTAAATTATACTCATATATTATACATTAATATCTTCTGCTAGCCACGTCTATTTTTGTGCTAGACATGTCGTTTGAGATTTGAATATCAGCTGTTTTGATATATCATCTTTATTTACTAAAATACTTTAAAAAGTGAGTTTCTTGTGCTTATAATAATGGGTGATATATTGAAATTTTTTATTTTTTTGCACTTTCATTTATTACCTGTTTCACTGCCATAATTACATATATGCCCCCATCTAGAGCACTGCAAGGGAATTTGTAATTTTCTACCACTATTTAAGAAAGGGTATTCTGTTTCAATTCTTAAGGTTTTACCAATTTTGAGTTTCAGATAAGGAATGAAATATTAAAAGATGAGTCCTTTTGTTTTTATTCTCTAAGTAAAATTAAAAATAAACCTTGCAGAGCATTGTTTACCTATGAATATCGCAGTGAAAGAGTTAAGGGAATATTATCTTTTTTTGTTGGTTTTGTATGTAATTTTTGTTTTGATTTGTACCAGAAGGTATACAGTAGAAAGAGCCCATGATGCTTGGAAATGAAAAATAGGTTGAGTTTAAAGTGTTATTTGAACTTTTATTGATTTAAAAACTTGAAAGTTTCATTTCAAGGTTTTGTGTTGTTTAAACTATGGGTTCCTAAATTTTCTGAGCACAAAGTCACTTCAGAAAATGTTGCATCTTGACTGCAGCCCCACACTAATTGAATGCATAGCTACTGAGTAAGAGTATTGTGTATTTGCTACATCCCTCTCCCCCTTCCACTTTTCTGTGGCCATCAGGGAGTCTGCATCCCCAATTTGGGAACCTCTGGTGTGAACTTTCTTTCATATTTTTTATAAGTTGAGAGAAAAAAAACATTGAACCAAAATTAAAGAAATAAAAGAGAAAATATTTACTATTAAGTGTTTTAGTATTTGACACTCTTTATAATAAAAAGAGTTGTTTTTGATTAATTAACATTTTCAGTAGTTTCATAATGGTTTTTAAAACAGTGTTGGTAACCAAACTTTTGAATTATGTTGTGATATTAGGTCTATAAACTTTAAACTTAGTGAAACTTTGCATTTGTAATTATAATTGTATTGTTATAAAGCACCAATACACTTCTTCTATTGTATTTGATTATAAAAGTAAACATTCTGTATTGAAACTAGCTTCTTGGGTTTCATAATGATTTAAATCTTCACTTCTAATGTAGTTTACTGATAAATTTTAATTTAGTGTCAGTCTTTTTATTTATTTTTTTGTCAGTGCTCAGCTGTTTCTGTCAAAGTAATTTTGCCCTCTGGTGGCTCAGAAGTAAGTGTGAAGACATATAACATTAAAATTTGGGGGTTGATCTCAGCATTGGGCACAGCACAGATACCCCCATTGTACAGCTCTACATTTAAGACAAGCAAAATAATTTGACAAATTCCAAGCTGATTTTGAGTATCCCACTAGTGTTTTTATTTGAAAGAAAGGAATGTAAGAAAATTAAATTTTGAAGAACTTCTGACATAACTCCAACCTTAAACTGTATTTTTGTAGACAACTGTACACTAACTTTTATTTTATCACAATCAATGAAATTCATGGGGTTGGATGGAAGAACAATTTTAAATATATTAATAAGCATGATTTATGTACAAGGAATGAAGTTATTAAAATATTTCAGAAAAGCTAAGAAAAACAAATTTACATGGATTCCATGTCAAATTCATTTTTTTATTCTAATAATTTATAAAAAAAAAATACAAATTATTAGAATAAAATATTATTATCTGATACCTGAGTAATTTATAATTTTACTGAACTTTCATCAAATATTTTTAATAATGTAAATTTTCCTTACTACATTTGAAGTCTGAATACACTGTTCATTGAAATAAAAGTTAGGAGTGTAAGGTAAAAATCTGTGATAAGTAACATTTTATCAGTTTAATAAATGGCATTAACTGAAAATTTTTAACTCAGTTGGAGCTGTATTACATACTTGTGGGTGGCCAAATTTACTTAGTAAATAAAGTTGTGATTAGTGACAGGTATGTAGATTGTTATAACCTTAACTCATGATATACGAGATCTATATAAATTTAGTAATTAGTATGGAAGAAGCTTAGAACATTTTAAACTTATTTCTAACTGTTTTGAAATCTGTTTTTCTGAAATATAATTTCAACTTTTCATAATGAATTTTTAGCAGAAACATGCATTCAGCTTTTAAAGATGATGCAGTATCTTAAGTCTGTACATGACAAAAGATATTCATTTCATGAGAAAGAAAATATATTAGTATTCTTTATAGCTTAGAGACAGAATACTGAAAAGTATGTTGAAATACTTCATAATAAGACTTGTATGGAGGATTCATTTTGTTATATTGCTAACTAATTAAATAACTTGTGAAAATCACGTTAAAAATGTATGCAATGTATTTTAGTTGTCAGCATATTAATAAATTAATTCACGTAGAAATGTTATTCACTGTGTCTGCAGAGAGCTTGAAATATTCAAAAGTTATATTTTGTTTGTTAGTGTGTGCATGTCTGTGCGCACTAACAAACACACAAAAGGAGGGAAATTATTATAGAATCTTACTAGTTGTTAGTTTTTTGTGATAAAAGTGATCTAAAGATGTTAATTCTTAATATTATTAAAATTTGCTGTATCTGACAGGCATACCATATAGAAGAGGATATCTCTTGTATGGGCCACCTGGATGTGGGAAAAGCAGCTTTATGTGAGTTTTGGATGTAAGAAGTGTAAAGTGGGTTAATTGAAAAACAATCTTAAAAACAAATATAATTTGGAGTGAAAAATATTTCACTGATTACATGTATGAATTTGGACAAAATATATTTCTTTAAATATAATCTCTGTTAATGCATCCATCATGTGATTCTGTAACTACAATAAAAAAGTGTTCATTAATGATATACAGGCCTCAAAATTGCATTTGGTCAATACATGTTTACTTATGTAAAATATTATCATTGTTCAAAATAAAACCAGAATATCAGAAAAGGAGACTGTTTGATCTTACCATTAGAACACAAAAATTTAAGATTTATTTTATTAAGTGTAAGTTATTGCAGATTACCTGTAACTTAGAAATGATTGTTATTTCACAGTTCTTTGTAAAGACATAAGATGAGTTTGACTACAGTTTCAAGGCTTGATTTTGTCTTGACTCTGTTTTACTTGTCTTTGTTATCATCTGAGGAATAGGAGTAGAAGCATTCTCAAGTTTCCATATTCCAAGACATTTCAGCTATTGTTCACAACCAAAAACTTTTACCTCACCTATTCATCAGCTTCCCTGTTTAAGTAATTCAAAATGCTTTGCGCACTATAGAAGTTACATTCTAGTTTTTAACCTAAAGATGCGTGTGTGTCAATGATTATTCAACTTAAGAATTCTCATAGTAAGATTTTAGAGTTAATAAAATGAACTAGTAGCAAGACTTGTAATACAAAGGTCTCGTGAAAATTGTTTGTCAAGGGTCAGAGATCAACAAGTTTTCAGTTACCTTTGTCTTCATAATAGATTTTTTAGTTAAGAAAATTATTATTATTAGTATGGACTTAACTTTCATGATAACAGAAGTAATAATAGTTTTAAAAAAATTGGGTTTTCCAGTGGCATTTTTACTTCTGTTTAAACAAAGTTATGCATAATGGAAATTTGTTTTGGGATTTTCATTACATTAATTATTATTCAAAAAAAAATATTATTCAAGAAGATTGTTGTAGAGGAGTATTTAAGTGTTCTGGAATATTTATCATGATTATTTTAGAAGGTTGGTTAGAATTTTTTATTATAATATTTTGATAATGCACATTTATTATATAAAGATTTTTTAAATATTTATAGCCACTTATTAGTCCCAATATATTTAACTCTGATATTCAAAACTTGGATATTTTAGCACTGCCTTAGCTGGAGAACTAGAATACAGCATCTGTGTGTTGAACCTCAGTGAGAGGGGTCTCTCAGATGATCGTTTGAATCACTTGATGAGCGTAGCCCCACAACAGAGTTTAATACTCCTTGAAGACATTGATGCAGCATTTGTTAGCAGAGAGGACAATGCTAAATGTAATTAATATATATCCTTTTGTAAAACATCCTTGGAAAAACTAGATACTTTTTATCAATTGAATTATGTAAAGCAATTGATAAATCTATTCTTAAATATTATATTGCACGGATACAATCTGTGATATTAAAATCTGAGATTTCAAAATTATTAAGTTCCTTTTTTTACCCATTTGTTTAATGATAAACCCTTCGAGCATGGGTGGGAGTCAAAGTACACATTCTATGACCTTTTACAGAGTGCCGTTCAATGTAGTATTATGTGTGTCATGTAAGAGTAATTGAACTATTCACTTTTCCCTACATTGCTGATTGTGCAACACTTTACGATAGAGGACAGTAAATACTGGTACAGTATACAGGGATACTGAAAAAACTAGATATGCATCTTGGACATTCCATACGTTATGAAAATGCAATATAGAAACAGTACAATGGACAAAAATGTATTTATGTTTCACATGAATATCACCTTGTACTCCAATTTGTCAGACTGATGCCGTCCATTCACTGACATATCTTAAGTACAACAACTACTGTAAATAATCTAATATTTTGTTTACAACAGACTTATAGATTTCACTAAAATGTAATAGTAAATTTAGAATTATAATCAACATTTTTTCTTCAAAGGAGGGACCCTGTATACATTCAGATAATGCTTATCTTTATTGTCACAGATTTTTGTTGAGCTGTTGTTTAATATTTCTCACATAAAGTAAAATTTTGTTGAAGCTTCTTATGAACAAAAATCATTGGTGAGAAACATATTAATTAACCTGAAGTTAAGCCTTCAGTTAATTCCCCTTTATTTATTTTAAAAACCTTTCAAAAGGTCTTTGCTTGATGAAAATTTTTAACAGTGCTCAAAAGTGTATTTAATCTGAAAATTAAACTTCATTTTATTTACATTTAATGTGGTACTAAAACTACATCTAGTGAAAAGTTTGAAAAGTTTTTTTTGTTATTGCTACGATTTAAACATCAGTCCTTTAAAAAAGTTGTTAATTTTTTTGGTAGATGCTACAGATGTAAAAAGTGTTATTATTTTGTTAACTGTTTTGGTTGTAAAATTCATTCATTAGTTCATATCCTGTTTTAATCTATTTCAGCAACAGCTTAGTTGTAATTTGTCAGAAAAGTAGATTTTACAAAATAACGTGAACACACAACTTAAGATAATAAAATTAATCTTTGTTATACTGTACTGCTAGGATTTGAACATTATGTATCTATGTATATATATCATATTTGTGTGTAGGTGGGTGGATGGATGTACATATACTAATACAACTTTTCGTTTTGTAACACTAGTGAAAGTGGCCTACGAGGGACTGAACAGAGTAACATTTAGTGGACTGTTAAACATGTTAGATGGAGTTGCTTCAGCAGAAGCAAGGATTCTCTTTATGACAACAAACTACTTAGAAAGGTAATCTTGTGTTACTGTTAACTATGCATACGTGGAATTCTTAGTTTTCATGAATTGGATCTAAATCTTTTCATAGCATATATTAACCAAAGATTTACTTTAAATATAATACTATTGAAAAATAAATTGTAAAATTGCACCATGTGGCCTTTCCTTCTTACATTTATTTAATTATTTGTGTAGATGAATGTTATTTAATATTTTAATATTTTATAGCCCACATGGGAAAATAGGCTAGTAAAATTTTATACACAGGGTTTTTAAACCAGTTATCTGACACCTTATTGTCAAGTTAATTATCAAGTGACACTTTAGTGCCAGATATTTTATCAGCATTCTTTCTTATTGAAGTGACATATTATCAAATATTTGTAACAGAAGTGGAAATTTTCAATAAAATACTGTATGAAACCTTATTGACATGACATATGATTAAAAATATCAATAAACATTTTTCATCAGAAAAAGTAGGCAAATATTTAGTAGTTTTTGAGAAGAATTAAAGTTTATGCTAAACCAAAAAAAAATGATTGATTGAATGTTAAAATAAGTACATAAAAACTGTTATTCATTAATAATTTTATGGAAAATAGTTTGACGAAGTTGTCTGTGTTATACTTTATAGTTTTTGATAAAAATTAAGGCTTATGTAAAAAACAAATTGATTAATGAAGTATTAATATAAGTACACTTAGAACTTCAATCCATAATAATTCTTGTTGAAAATGAACTTTTTTTGGACAAAACTACTAGGTGATAAAATGTTACATTTGTCAACATTTCATCTAATATAGTTTAATTTTTTTTTACTGTCATCCCATACTAGAGCACAAAAATTATTTAGACAAAATAAATGTTCCTTCTTTTTTTGAATTTATTTTTGATTGGATTTATAACAATCATTTTCGGGAAGGATAATTATCTACAAACCACAACCAAATGTTAAGCTCATGTATGTGTTTTCTGCTTAAAATTTTTAAGTAACAAAGTAGCATAGTCTTGTGATATGTATGGGAAACAGTAAAGTAAGTAATGCTGTTATTTCATTCACAGTTATGTACAGTATGTCTTTCTTTCAGGTTTTTGTTTTTTTCCCCCGGGAATTTAGTGTGTACTTTAATAAAAAATACATATTACATTATATCTTCAGATTGGATCCAGCACTCATTCGCCCTGGACGAGTTGACATGAAGGAGTATATTGGTTATGCTTCAGGTAGGCAGTTAAAACACATGTACCAGAGGTTTTATCCTGAACAGCCAGAAGAAAAAGCTGAAGAGTTTGTCCAGGCTGTTCAAAAGCATGGAAAAGAAGTCAGTATGGCATTGGTTCAGGGGTACTTTATGTTTTATAAGAATGATCCTTATGGTGTGATTGAAAACACCAATTTGATGTGGAAATTATGACATTATTGCTTTGTGTATTAGGTATAATGTTGTAGAATGTATTTATATTAATAAAAACTTATTTTTTATTTCTTGAATCCGAAGAATACATTTGTCTTTGGAATATTTTTTTTCTCTATAAACTGCTGCTGATTTTGAAAAGTACTAATGGTTTGTTGAACGTTTAAACTCGTAATTTCTTGAAATATAAATTTTTTAATAAATTGTATTTCTTGTTTTGTTTTTATCATATCCTCATTTCTTTTCTGGTTCCAAAACTATTTTGACCCATAGTTATATTCCATGGCAAGAAGTTACTGCTGGAACTTTGTTAATATAATAAAATAATACAAACTGTCACTGTAAAAATTGACTTTCTAGTGAAATCCAAAATACTTAATACAAAATTGCATTTAATTTTTAGGTGTGGTAATACAACATAGACAAGTCACTGTTGGTATAAAAATTGATTTTTCTAGTGTAGTAAAAATAATCTCTGTAGGATTACAATTAGGTTATTTATCTTTTTTATTTAATATCAATTTTGATAAGTGTTAATTCAAGCAATAAAGAATCACAAACAATTCATAATTATATCAAGATGAGTGTTTATATAATTAATTCACAGTTAAACTTTTAGTATCTGATTTTTAAATATCAAGTACTTATAATTATCCAGCAAATTAATTTTGATATAGCCCCCCAGTGGCACAGCGGTATGTCTTGTGGACATACAAAGCTACAAACCGTGTTTCGATACCCATGGTGGGCAGAGCACAGATAGCCCTTGTGTAGCTTTGTGCATAATTAAAAATAAAAAATATAATTTTGAAATAAAGCTATTTCAAAAATCAATGATAAACATTGCTGTAAATTAGACACTTTTGAGAGACAATGGGTACTTTTATTAAAGTAGTTATTTTAATAAGTTCTGAATGTCAAAACTAAAATATTCAGCTGCTTACAAACTTCTGAGCACTCAATAAAATGAACAATTTAAAGTAATATTGTCAAATACAGAAAATGAGAAGGAAAATCATTAAAAATGTGATACATTTCTACATGATCATTGTGTGTATGTACATATTTAAAAAAAGTTAAATCTGTTAATGTTCATGCACGGTATATGATGGCTTTGATCTACACTTGGTTAGTTGATGAAACTTTAGGAGTTTTAAGTTTTATAAGAAATGTTTCTCAGTATAAACTGACGTTTTATGTGATTTGCATTGTAAAAAAATATATATAAATTATAGCTTTTAATTTTTGTTTCTTGTAAGTGTAGTATGTAACCAGATATTATTTTAAATTTTTGTATGTTTTGTCCATAAGTTCATTCAATAAGATAAATTAATTAAACAAGATAGTGTACTGGACTGTGAATCCATGGTTTACATCCCACTTCCAATGGGAGCATTATAAGTGATGGTTACATCCCACTATTTGATTAGAGTAGCCCAAGAGTTGGTTGGCAGTGGGTGATGTTAACTAGTTGTATTCCTTTTAGTCTGTCAGTTCAAAATTAGTTATTGAGAGCAGATAGCAGTTGTGTAGCTTTGTGCAAGTATCCAAAACAAATTAAATGAATTTGAAACTGAACAAAATTTGCTAATGAATACAATTAACTTATTTGAATTAATGCACAATATACAACATAATCTAGTTATTAATTTATAAATGCACTGAATATCTAAACAAAAACAACATTTACATTTTTAGAACACGAATATTTTTGCTTTCTAATGAACATTTCTTCCTGTTAATATTAATAGTTAATACCATTCTAGAAATTATGAATGGTAAGATACAAGTAAAAATTGTGTTGCAATAAACTATTAGGTCGTCAAGAAATTAATGTCGCGTTTTGGAACACTTTCATTAACCATCCCCCAAAAAACG